GCTGCTGCGGCGGGGCCCCAGGAGGGCGGCGCACCTGCCTCAGCAGCAGCAGCAGCAGCAGCAGCAGCAGGAGCTGCAGGCACCCGGATGTACCCCGAGCTGCTGCGCGGCTACAGCAGCTTTGCTGTCAGCGAGGGGGGTTTGCTGCTTGCTGCTGCAGCAGGAAGAGATGTGCAGCTTTTTTCTATGGACACTCTTGCGCTCTACGCCTACGTGCAGCTGCACTGCAGCAGCAGCAGCAGCAGCGAGAGCAGCAGCAGCAAGCAGCAGCAGCCACCAGCAGAGGAAGTGCCGACGAATGGGCGCGCCGCAGCAGCGGCAACGCCAGCGACTGCAGCAGCAGCAGCAGCTGCTGCTGCTGCTGCTGCGGAAGAGCTGCCAGGGCCTTCGCGGGGCTGTAGCCTGCCAAACGGATTAACGGAAATGCCGCTTTTGCAGCAGCAGCAGCAGCAGCAGGAGCTGCAGCCAGTGCAGCAGCTGCAGTTTGCTGCAGCAGACCGCGTGCTGCTAGTGCTTACTGGCTGCTGCCGCCTTTTCTTATTCTCTTTGCTGCAGCAGCAGCCGGCGCTGCTGCTGCTGCTGGACCTGCACCAGGTGTACATGCAGGCCATCCCTGCTCTGGGGCTGCAGCAGCAGCAGCAGCAGCAGCACCAAAAGCAGCAGCAGCAACTCCTCGCGAGGCGCAGCAAGGCTAAAGACGATGAAGCGGAAGCTAACGACGACGCCGAGCAGCAGCAGCAACAGCAGATGGAGGAGCAGCAGGAGCACAAGCAGCAGCAAGCTGGGGGGGAGTTCGAACAGGAACAGCAGCAGCAGCAGCTGGAGAGCGTCGAAGCTTTGAACTCCAAGGAGCAAGAGCAGCAGCAAGAGGCGCTGCAGCAGCAGGACATGCAGCAGGAGAATCAAGAGACGCAGCAGCAGCCACAGCAAACGCTGCAGCAGCAGCAGCAGGAGCTGCAGCAGCAGCAGGAGCTGCAGCAGCAGCAGATGGCTGAAGGCAGCACCGCTCAGGCCCCCAGAGGGCGGCCTGGTGGCAGCAGCAACAGCAGCAGCCGCAGCAGCAGCAAGGGTCAAGCGTGTGCCGAGGAGCAGCAGATGGGTGATCCAGCAGCAGCAGCAGCAGCAGCTGCTGCTGCTGCTGCTGACACCGAGAGAGTGAAGATCTGCTGCCTGCAGCTGGTCTCGCTGCTGCTGCCGCCTGCTGTGTCTCTCACAGAGCGGCGGGCAGATGATGCCTGGCGGCTTGCCGTTGCTGCTGCTGCTGCAGCAGGAGAGGCAGCAGCAGCAGCAGCAGCAAATGCTGCTGCTGCTGCGGACGAAAAGAGTCCCCGAGCTGCTGCAGCAGGCATGAATGCCGCGCAGGCCGACGGCAGCCCGTCAGCTGCAGCTGCTGCGGCTTCAGATGAAGCAGCAGCAGCAGCAGCAGCAGCAGCAGCAACAGATCTTGAAGCTCTATCAGGCGGAGGCCGCATTTCCCTGATTGTTTCATTTGCTGCAGACCCTCGGGCTGAGGGCGAGAGCTGTACGTACACTGCGCCGCTGTTGCTGCAGTTTGCGTTGCAGCCGCAGCAGCTGCTGCTGCAGTATCTGCGGCAGCAGCTGCTGCGGCAGCACCG